CAAATTGAGCTATTTCCAGTGTTATAGCAAAGTCAGACGGGATCAGCACTTTCTTGCTTTTTACTATTAAAAGTATTAAAAAAGTAATGCAAAAAAAAGTGTAAAAAATCCAAATTGCCCCAAAAAATCAATCAAATGTTAAAGACTCAGATTTGGTGTCATGTCAGAGGAAACTGTCATTGGATCCTAGCATGTTTTTGTTGATGCTTTACTGACAATTTGTCATTTTAGAATAACATACTTTATGATGACCAAGGCTAGACTGTCTGGCATCGCATTATTTTTCAGGAAAAACACAAGGTTACTATATACGTAGCATGTGAATCACATTATTTTGACAGGAGTCAACAGAGCAAAGATGATGTGGCAGTTCTTCATGTAGCTTTAGTGCTGTTAGTAACACAGACAATGGCAGTTCCATAAGGAGCGATCAATTGGTGTGTAACAATATTTATCAACAGAGAACAACGTTGCAGATTAGACTGCATCAGTGTGAAGCCTCTTCATCGAGTGTAGGCCCATATGAAGATGGGTGATCAGACACGATCCGCTTGGAGTTAAGAGGCAGGTAGTAATCTCCCTGGGCATCTTAGAAGTCATGGTAGAGGTGGGATGCACAATAGTAGGTATGAAACAGACAAATTTGCAATGAACATCCAACTGAGTGACAGAAGGAATGTGAGCAGAAAGATCATTGGTCAGAAATGGTGATGTCAGAAATAGCAGAAATTCACCCATGAAGTAATAGTCAGAAAGTATGAGAAAATATCTTCCTTATTGTACTTTTGCAAAAATTTTTGCTTGAAATAACTATTGTTCGCTCCACCTACACACCTAGCAAGTCACAGCTTTTTGCTGCCGGTTTTCACAGATATCATTCTCTATCAAATGTGCAAAAGTACTGGCAGTCAGAAATCAGTATCATACGCTGAAGAAGGTTGAGAGCAAGTGAGAGCAACAAAATAAATTATGACGCTATAAGAACTTAGTGAAAAGGTAAGACTATAGTGTATCTGAAAACTTTATTTACATTTACATTTACTCATTTGGCAAATGCTTTTATCCAAAGTGACAAAGTTACAAAGTGCTTTACAATGATAAAATAATTTAAATAACTGAGGGAAAAAAGATGACCATTAAATAAGACCCTGCCAGAGAATCTCAAGCAGCGAACAGGCTCATTTGATGATTATGATGATGTTAGTGGTCCAACATTTATGAAAGTTTTGCCTGTGAAAAAAGAATATTTGCTCACGTTTTGATTTTTTCATTCATTCATTAGTGTTACACAAATGTATGGTCCTTGATCTAATAAAGCCAAAATGAATGAAATGATCTGTGGTTGAGTCAGCCCATCTGCATGGTACTTGTGTCAGTTCTGTGAAAGTTTTTTTCTTGAAGTGTCCTGCTTAATAGACCCATGAGTCAGGCTGTCACTTTCCTCTGGCTTTAGGTTTGAGCTCCTCTCACAAGCTCTCTTCTCTAAGGTCGAGGCCACCATTGTCCCCAGTAAGAATGGCACACAATGCAGTTTAGGGGATCTGTCCAAAAACTCACTTGCACTTGACAGAGGCATCGATTGGCTAATGCTAATCCCGAATCTCCGCTGATGAGAGTTGCCATCGACCCGTCACAGAATTTGGGCTGCTGCAAAGGCAGAGAGGCAGAGAATCAGGGGTCCATCATCTTATCTGCTTGACAATAAATATTTAAAGGCAAGGAGTAAACCCCTGAGGAAAGGTCTTTCAAAGTGATTGCATTTACTGTTTGGTGAAATGAAACCCCTCCTGGATGTTCTGTGTGTGTGTGTGTGTGTGTACTGTGTGTTGGTTTGTGTCCTTGTATGTGTCTGCAGATGTTGTGTTTGTCTGCCTGTGTGTGAAATTATAGAATTATGTCCTATCTGTGTCTCTGTGTTTGCTGTTACGTTTTGTAGATTGTAGATTGTCTATGTGCTCAAATGAGAAATTGTGTTTTGTGAGTCAACTAGGTGGATCATTGTTGCTTATCGCTGAAGGATACTACGAGCAAAGAATAACGAAGGCCAAAACAGAGAAATGACGAAAGCAGTAATTAGAAACTCAGCACCATGAAATTCTAATGACATTACGTGGAGTTGTTTCTGCAGAAAACAACAAGAGGATTAAAGTTTAAATGACTCATTTGCAAAGACAAGCAATAAAACCGTCTTCAGCCATGTGATCTGGGTTTGAGGGCATATAATGCAAAGTTCATCATGCATTATTTATAAGTCTTATATTAAAAGTAATATTATGCAGGCTTCCTGCGTCTCCCATTACAGAGTGGAAGTGGAGCAATTGATTAAATACTTCATGTGTTTGATGCATCACGTGTTAATTCAAAGACTAAGGCAGCAGCTACAATAGAAGTATATTTTCTTGATAGCAGTGTGGCAATAAGTTCTGATAACGTTCAGTATTTTTTATCAAAGTAAAGTGTCAAAGTATTCAACATTAAATAAATAAGAGACATTGTGACATAATGATGAGGTAATCTTTAACCAATTTCTCTAGTTGTGACTGTATTTCCTAATCCAGGTTACCAGTAATGATATATGTCTTTGCTCTTTTAGTAAAACACAAGCGAAATCCATCCATCCATCCATCTCAACCGCTTATCCTGCGTACAGGGTCGCGGGGGGCTGGAGCCAATCCCAGCTGACATCGGGCGAAAGGCGGGGTACACCCTGGACAGGCTGCCAATCCATCGCAGCACAAGCGAAATATTGTTTGAAAATATAAAATATTAAATAGAGTAACATCAATAAAAAAATGTTTTACTTTTGATTAAGTTGTTTTTTTATTTGATTCTCATTTTATTTGAGTCATTTCCGGCTTCCATCTTTGTTTGGATTAAGAGAAGAAGGCGCAGGAAAACGAGTTAAAAATCTTTTTTTTTATCATAACAGACAGATTCTGGAAATACCTTCAGAACAGCAGCAAGTGTCTTTAAATGACCTTCTGAGTTTGAAAGGTATATATTTTTGGATATAGGCCTATTTATACAATTCAATCATGAGCACATTGTTACTGGCCAACAAGCTAAACAGCATGTTGACAGGACTCACTGCCCAAGTACTGAAAGCGCTGCTGCTGACAGCAGATAAGATCCTCTCTGACACGACCTTTTAGCTCTGTTTTAATAAGTTTGAGCTTCTCACCTCTGGTTACTGTTCCTGGACCCTGACTCCCAGGAGGAAAAACTCACCAGACCAACAGTCTTTCCATCCCAAGAGTTTATTGCCATCCCAGACAAATGTTATTTTCATTTAAAACATTTTTTATGTTTTGATTTAGCAAGCAGTAATGCATGTAATGAGAATATTGATGCCCCTTAGGCTGTCTATAAGGCTGTTTCCTTATGTAAATATGTTTCTGTTACACTTTAACAAGTGCACAGTGAACCTGTGTTTTTACAGAGGACAGTCAAGTTATTCAAGAACATGTGTACGCACCTCTTGTCTACCTGTAAATAATTCCAAAGCCTCATCTCTATCACATCAAATATTTAAGTGGCTCCCAGAGTAATAAAGTTAGAATTGATTAGTGGACATGACCCTGCGTTTTGACGCCTGGAGCTGAATGGAACCAATAAAAGAGGTAATTAGAGGAAGAGAAATCGGAGAAAGACTGAGGGGGATACACTTGTGTCTATCTTTGTTGGCATTAACAGATATACAGTCAAAGGGCAAGCGCTCAGTTTAACTCTGGCACTCTCACAACTGGCTTTCATATCAGCAAGAGAGTAAACCAATTAAATCTATGAAAATATCTGAAAATATCCACTGAGATGAGATGTGCAGTGAGGCAGTTTGTCATTCCAGCCACATTCAGTTCATGTGTGTAGGCTCATGTACAAAGTCACAACTAGCTAACTATTTCTTTTAATATTGCACTGTAGAAAGACTACAAAGGTTTCTACAAAGCACATGCATGCCATCTAGTGTTAAACTCCAGTAATCAAGTTGGTTCAGCAAGGCTACACATCTGACAGTGTGTGAGAGACCTGAGGACATATTTGCTTGTTTGTTAGCTGATTGATGTTCAGGACACACGGCTTTTCCACATCCACCTTCAGTTTGTGGGACTATCTGTCAAGTCACTATGCTACTTTGCCATGCTGTTTGGATGGGAGAGAAGTCAAATTTAGGAAATTAGATGCGAGACCATTACCCTGTGTCCTTGCTGGCCAGCATGTGGTCTTGTAACGTGCGTAGTCATTTCTCTGGAGCCTAAAACCCATTTGAATCCGATAACTGAGCCCAGTGCAGCACTCAGGCAGCCAAGCCTTTAGCAGATCAAGAGTTTCCAGGAGGCATCATATGTGGCCTCTCAACTTGTCATCTTCTGGGACTCATGTTGATGCAGTGCTAATTGCTTGTGATGTGTGATTTATTGTATTTGTCATTTGTACACTCAAATAATAAAATAATTTGTGTGTATGAATTAACAGAACATGGTTCAACTTTGTGTTTAGCAAAATAATAAGCAAGATTTTCAGTCATCCAGGTCATAGTTATACAAGGTAGGTTTGTAACAAGGGCAAGTGGACTTGGTCAAACATATTCAAAGATGTTTTTCCACTCATCCAAGATGCTTCTTCAGTTCTTCAGTATACTATGTCATATGTCATAGTTCAATCGCCTTGCTTGCCTGCTGTACAGATACATACACACGTTAAAAGTCATGGTCAAGTGGCTGTCAAAGATATTCAAATAATCAAACATGCAGGGTAAAAATGAATGAGGCATAATCAAAAATTAAACCATACCATAAAAATGATCTTTATCAATAGTGCTGCCAAGGAAAGAAAATCACAATTACTTCAAACACGTGTGAACAAATTAACAGCAAGGACATCATCATAGCATCCATTTGTAAGGTTTAGAGTCATCATTTTCATTGATTTACAGCATGTTTCTTATCCCTGATTCAATTATTCCACAAAAACAGTACTGCGTGGCATAGGATCCCAAAATCGCTGTGACTGAGTGTGTTTTTCCTTAAGCGGCGGGTTATAAAAGTCCACTTTTCAGAAAAAAACTGTCCTTTTCAAAACATACAAACTGAGCCAAGGAACAGCAAGCACAAAAATGTAAGATAAAAGTCACCCAGAATAGACGAAAGTAATTTGGAAGCATTCACAGTATGTCCAAGTATGCATGTTCAGGTTTATGTTGTGTAAATATTTATCAAATGTTTTGGTGTGTACCAATAACTGGTGGTAATTAGAAAGGTTGCAGTAATCCCCTCAGAGTTTTGTATGGCAGTTAGGTTAGGCCACCATGTTTGCAGTAGCTGTCAGAGGAAAGTGTGGAACACACGAGCCTTCAGACTTCTGGTTCGGGGAACATTCCTTGTAGAGAACTTTATCACCTTGTACAGATTTGAACAGCTCCCCAAGCTGGAAAACGGGAACCAACGAGCAGTCCGCTTGTTCCCGTGAAGGTTCCAGAAGGAGGAGGAGCAGCGCTGGAAAACCTCGATGTTGACTGCATACTGACCTGGTGCCCATTGAGACACACACACCAGAGTCACAGAGGAGGCGAAGCCACAGGTGTGAGGAGAGACGCCATGGAAAACAGACTCCCCAGGCCTCATAGATGCACCTCTCTCCCAGACCATTCCAGCCTCCTCTGCCACTCCCATGCCACTCAGGTTGCAGAGCGCCTGAAGGCACACCTCCTCCAGGGCCTCCTTGTCAGGAAAACGGAGCAGGATGGCAACAAGACGAGGCACTGCACCTCGACGTAGTAACAGTTCCTGCAGCTTAGCTGAAGGCAACAATATAAACACAGAAAACTGTTGTTTACGGTGTGTAGCATTTTAAAATATTTATTCTAAAAAATAGTATGATTAGCATTTCTTTTTATAAATCTCACTGAACCTGAGTAGGAAGAAACAAACAATAACAAGCAACCCTGTCTCACATTAGTGGCTTGACAATTTTCCCTAAGTCGGACAGAATTTCACATAAACCATGTTGGTTCCTATTGCAGAATGATTTTATTTCTCTACCTGGTATTGTGTGTGTTTTACCAAAAATTTAAACACTCAGTTTAATGTGCTCTATGATGCACCTGTCTCTCTTGCACTACAAAAAAATGGACCTTTTGTCAAACAATGCAAAGTTTAACTTGGTATAGGCTTCACAACAGTCCTTTTCTCACACATACCACATCTTCTACGCTGCAATTCAAACATATTCAATATATAAGATAATTCATATAGAGGTATGGTTCTAAACTTTCTTAGCTCTGAAAGGCATTGGTTTGTCAAGGTGATTAACTGGTCAAGAACATAGGTTTAAACAGCTTTGAGATTATTCACCAGAGTAAACACAAAGCATTATTGCTCTAAAGACATGAGTTCTTGTGATATTCTTCTGGCAGCTTGGATGACATCTCCAGTGTTGACTTTATCTCCAAATTCAATCTCTCTGTGCTCCAGAGAAGGGTTAGGGTTAGAACACACAAAACAAGGAGTACATTTCCAGAGCTTGTCATGAGGTAGGTTTTAGTGGTTTACTCTACTTACAGCTGTCATAAGACATGCGTGAGATAGCTCTGGCAGCGTGAAGGAGCAGTTCTTGATCCTTACTGGTCAGCACAGACAGCAGAGCCGGAACCAAACCGGCATCACCAAAACCTTTACAAACCACAGCTGAAAGGAAACAAAAAAAACCCCTCAATGAATAAACTCAAAACTACACAGACAGAAATTGTGCCGAATAAATTAGATCCAGCGTTTTCTAAGGGCAGCCAACAGAGAATCAAATATGTGAGGCTCCAGCAATCAGCCAACACAGGGATGATCTCATACACTTAATTAAAAAGAAACAAATAAGTTGCAGACCAACATATTTCTTTATAAATAACTTACATTCCTTGGCGAGTTCAGCCACTAGTTTTGCGGTCAGCACAGCGAGAGGCCCTCTTCTCCTCAGAGACAGCGCCAGAATTGGCAGGATCCCACTGATCACTACCTGCTCAGCAGCACCTTTGTCTGTACACACATGTAATTACACATGTCAACACAACAAATACAAACACACAATGACCATAACATATTATAATCACTTTGAGGCCATATCTAAAGAAACTTGTGACTGGAGTAGGTTTTTTAATCAACATGTTCCTTTAATCATTGAGCAGAATGGAGTTTAATATTTTGGTCTGTTTCAGTCTTACTTTGTACCTGATTTCCCTGACCCTTCTTTACCTCTCTTGCCTCTCTATCCCCCTTTCGCTAGGAGACACAAATACAGCTTAACGTCTTTCGAGGACTTGCAACTGTCATGCACCTGATCCCTTCTTAGCCTCAACCCCCAGGCTCCCCATCTTTTACCGGTGGGATTTTGCTACAGGTTTTATCATTCAAAAAGAGGAGCTGTTATGATATAGCTGCCACTAGGAGTGGGAGGCATGATGTGTTAAGGTATACTTGTATGGAAACACATAAATATGTAAATTGCATGTGGCAGCAGAGCTGTATGTGTTTTGCAATTCAAATCACATCAAATGAAAGACATACCACGAACACAAAAAATAACTCTGAAACCACTCATTATACTGTGAAACCTACAACACATTATGATTTTTTTTTAATGCTGTCTAGCAGACAGTGTTGTAGCTGAGGCTTGAGGGAGAGCATAACCTAAAATATATTCCAATTAGAAATGAGATATCACTGCGGAAAAGTAAATTAACTCACTCCTCTCTTTAATGTTGGCCAGCACTGTGTTCAGATGTGGTTTAAGTTCATCCTCTATCAGTTCCAAACCAAGGACTCTGATAGCACCTAATGCATTGTTCAGGTTGTCTGTGGGGAGATGTGGAAAAAAATGGAGACATTAAATAGGCCAGCAAGTATGCATGCTGTTTAGGAGTGTATGAAATATGAATCCCATTACAATTGGGTGAGAGTGAAGCAGGGCTGCCCATAAAGCATATTGGATTAAAACATGCAAATGAGAACATTTCAGTACAAAATGTTATGACTGTGCAGTTGTGGAGTTTTTTCCGTCTGGACCTAAGTAACCGATCGACAGACTGCCCAATATTGCCATTTGTATCCATCCGGCCAAAATGGTGCCAAACCAATAGGGTATCTGGTTCACTAACTGTCAAGTGTAGTGATCCAAATCTAATTCTACTATATTTGACTCTGACTCCAGTGGAAATTAATTAAAACATTTTTAAAGCTGAGTTACAGCAGCAGTCAAGAGGCAATGGAGGGCTACATACTGGAGACAGCTGCCTGTGAGCTGCTGCCCTTAACAATTTTCATACAGCTGACCTGACCAGCTTAAAGGGCCTTGGTCAAGGACATTTCAACAGTAAATAGCACTTCCCTGGTCAGATTTTCCCAGCTGTGCAAATATAAAACCCTCCAGTCACCAACCCAATTCTTTTGAGTGGTCCTTCAATTGACTTATTCAGAAGCCAGTGACCGATAATGATTAGTAGCAGTGAACAATGTATTCCCAGGCCTTACTTCAGCAAATAGCAGACTATTAACTGAAGACAAAAGCTTGTGGACGGTTATTACAGGTTTTGCATGTTTTAGCCCATTTACTACACATTTCATGTATACTTTTCACATATAACCATTTTGCATACTGTGCTACACATTTTAGTATATCTTTCTCTACCGTTTCTGGCAGCAATTAATTACCCGACTCCTGAATTGTGGACTCAACAAGCACGTTTCAAGAGTCTACTAAGTGATTTCCATATTGCAGAAAATAATAGCAAACAATGGCTGTACAATTTTTTTTAAGTATCACACTGGCGTGGTCCTTCAAGAAAACATGACTGAAAAATCTAAAGTTTAATCTCTTCAATAGGTATGAAAATGTGTGTGTATGAATAGTATTCCCTCCGCCCCATCAATAACTACTACTGAGGTGCTTTCAAATTAGACAGTTAACCCTAAACTTGTCTAATTAAGCAGATCAGTGGTCAACAGTACTCATGTCTCATTGCACCAACAGGTCCCATGTGTGAACGTGAAGCATGAGCGTTACTGAAACACATTAATGTCAAAGCCAATATCAAGATTTACACTGTACATCAGTCATGATTCTGCTCCACTCACCGTTTGGTGTGTAGGGTTGCAGTCGATTGGATCTGCGTTTATCTCTGTGGGAACGTGTGTAAGTGTACATGAGTGGCACATTAGGGTGTCCCATAGTGCTCCGTCCTACCGTCTCTGGAAAGCTGGTGGTGAAAAGCACGGCACTTTTTTATTGTTCATTCTTCTTTTGCTTCTCTCTTGCCAGATTTCTTTCTTTTGGTGAAGGTCTCTGGAGTCATTAGCTGTAGCTTTGAGGGAACCTACTTCAACTGACACTACATCTCACTTTAATCCCACTGCTGCACTCCCTACCCATCTTGTACTATTGTTTTGTGCAAAATAAACTTGTCTATGTTTTGTACAGGTCTGTCTTCCTTGTACTCCAGCTGGCCCTCTGTCCCATCTCAGGGTTAATACAGAGAAAATCCTTGCTAAAGCTGTTCTCCCCCCCCTCGTGTGTGTATGTGTGCGTACACAGTTAAGGTATTAGCACTTGGCTGACTCTGCTGAGCGTATTCTTACTTACTTAAAATCTCCCACAATGCCTTTCACCCTCTAGAAAATCCAAGTGAAAACAACAACACAGACAGGTGAGCATCTGCTTTTGTAAACAAGTGTATTATTTGACGGCATTTTCCCCGAAATGCTAAACATTGAACAGAGTTGGATTGCAAGTGCCAGTCTTTAGCCTTATTTAATTGACTGATAAATGAATGATCTTTTAATTAAATTTTTTGCCATCATCACAATATATGACAGAGCTCTGTAATTAAACAAATGCTTCAAGGTTAGAGTCTCTTAAACTCCCAAATATATGAAGCTTTTTACTCAATGATCAAAGCAGTTATGCACCACTTGGTCCATTTAGGACATCACAAGACAATAACAGACTCAATGTAGTTAAAAATTAAATCGTTATATTTTACTCAACTCTTGCAGTAACAGACATTTCAACAATCTAGTACAGAACGTTAGATGTTTAACTGGAAATCTAAACAATAAATACAACAGGAAAACAGGAGACATTGTACCACCAGTAAAAGATATAACACAGACCTCTGATATTAGCTGTTCTACATTATGGACTGTACCTGTGCATGGACAGGTTTTCTCAGTGTTCAACATGTTTAAATTTATACATACCGTGGGGATTTTATCTGCTCACTGATAGCATACAAAAATAATATATGGTTGGATTCAGTTATACTACATTCATACAAAATCTGCTACTAAAGAAACAGAGAATTCACTTTAACAAATACTTTGACATTTTGGGAAACGCGCTTAATTGCTTTATTGCCTTATTGCCAAGAGTAAGACGAGAAGATTGATACCACTCTTATTTCTGTAAGGCAAATGTGTAGCAGCAACCAGTTAGCTTAGCTTAAAGTCTGGAAACACGAGGAAACAGTTAGCGTTGATGTGTCCGAAGTAGAGTCTGACCGATATGGGCCTTTTATGGCAGATACTGATTTTGATATTTGAGGATTTTAAAATTTGTTACTCTGATTTATTGGTCGATATAAAATACACAAAGGCTATACTAACATTTGTTATGTGTAGTTATGAGACCTCACCAACATAACATGACTTAACAAATTTTTTTTAAGTTGTTATGAGGGGTTCCAGTTAGCTCACTTGGTAGAGCAAACGCTCCATATCCTTCTATTAATGGCCCTGGTTCGAGTCCAGTCCGCAGCCCTTTGCTGGTTATCATCTCCTCTCTGACTCTCTCTCCCTCCCTCATTTCCTGTCTCTCTTCCAGCTGTCCTATCGGAAATGAAGGCCAAAAATGTCTTTTAAAAAATAGTACTGAACAAAAGTACAGGGTGGTGGATTTGTGGCTTTCCAAACTCCCAACAGCAGATTGCAAAGTGCCCTCTGGTGGAATAACTATGCAATGATAACTTAATACATGATTGAAGGATCCGTCTTCTGTTACTTTTTGTAATTAGCTGTTATAACACCGACACTGATTTATCTGCAATTAGCTCATCTCAGCCATTAATATTGGCACACCAATTTATCGATCAGGCTGTAGTACCAGCACCTCTGAAGCTCACAAATGCACACATTCTATGTTGTTTTTTTGACAGTTGTATTTTGTAATATCCATCTTCTCATCTCACGTGGTAAGAAAGCTAGTACGTGTTATTTCCCAAAATGTCGAACTATTCCTTTAAATTGGACTTGAACATGTGACTTTATACCTTGATGTTGAGCTCCCCACAAGTGTGATCTCCTTCACAGGAGCTCAACCCAGCAACTTGCGCAGAGACTGTGTGCCATCACTCAGTAGCCCTTTGAAAGGGACTATGTTTGGTTCTTTAAACCTATCATTTGACCAGGTGTCAAACAGTTCCAGCTACATTGAGGCCACTGGAAACAGTCTCATATCCAACAGAAACCAGGGTAAGTACATTACTCTCCACGTCATCTGGCTTGCACTGCTCTGCATGGGTTTCCACAGGACCAGCAGCTCCAGTTTCCTGCCTTATCTTCTTCCTGACTCTGCCTCGCCCCTTGCCTTTTGAAATGACCTTCCCTTGCTCATTGACCCCCCCAGGCCCCTTGACAGACTTCTCATGGTCAGTTGAGCAGGTTTTGCGGTGGCGCCTGCGAATACGCCGCATTGGCGGACCAGAGTCAGCTGGATCTGATGCAGCTGCGCCAGACAGGATCCGAATCTGCTGTTCAATTACCATAACGACCATGTCCAGTGCAACGTTCAACATTCCCAGACCCAGACCATGAGTGACGTTGTCAAATGCGCCGCTATTGACTGGGTCCTTGAAACATTTTCTCATATCCTCAAGGTGGTTCCTTAGAGAAAAAGAGAGTGTTATTACTCTGTTTCTCACATTAACACACTTAAATGTTAAAAGAAGGACATACAGTACGTACTTTGTTTCAATAATTTTGGACCAGTGTTGAACTGTATTTGTGTCGGGGATGAGCTGTTTAGCCATGTTGCTGTAGTCAATGTAGTCATGGGCAAAGTCCTTCATATCGTTACACAAAGCTCCTGTGTCGCCTAAGCACATACATACATGGATTTAAACACAGTTTACTCTTTTGCACTCTTCTCCACGTTATCAAATTTAAACATTCCTACACCTAACATACGTCTGTCACCTTCAGTGAGTTTGGAGAAGGAGGAGGATACAGAGGTAGTTGTGCTTGGCGTGAGGCCGAGTACATTGAGTGACTCAAGTAGTGTTTTCTTGCTGGCCGGGCCTCTGCTGACCCGAGTGTAGGCTGCCAAAGAGCGCAGGGACATCTTCTCCGGGGCCTGCAGGCGACGTTTAATTTCATCATACGAGATGAGATACTTCCCTAAAATCAGAGCCGTACAGGAGGAGGTGAATCAGCACCAGCAGTTTTGGGATTCAATAGCACTTTATCAAATCTGAATATCGAATTTGCTTACCTGAATCTCTTATCATATTTAATGAAAAAAGTTTTAAATAACTTAACAAAAACCACGATATTCAAGAAGTCAGGATCTATTTGCTATTGAGCCAAATGACTGAATGCTTTTAACGTTGTGCTGTGTTAATAAAAAGAAAAGAGAAGATATAAAAAGGTTCAAGCCTGGTATTTTAGAAACTTGAAACCGGAACCAAAATGGAACCAGTCATTTTAACAAATGGCCACTTACGAGCCTTAGATCCTTTCATGTTGGGATCCAGGAGTGATGACACCTCTGCAAAAGGCATATTGGTTGCAGACTCTGAATTTGTGCTTGAGTTTGGTGGTGGGTCCTGATTCTGGGACACATCCTCAGCCTGGACTGGGGCAGAAACCTGCATCTGGGCCTGAATGTGAGGCTGTACAGTGTGCATTTCCACCTGGTTCTGTTCTAGCGGAGCCTGGCCATGTGTTTGAGGGAGGATCAAGGTGTTTTCAGACAAACCCTGCAGCCCAATTCCCCCTTGGGCAACACTACCTGTTTGCTCTGAAGACACCTGAAAGATGCCCATAACTGGTTTTACCACTGTGAAAACCATGTTCCCCTGGGCATCCAAACCCACCATCCTAGTAGATGGGTCCATCTTCACTGAAATTTTATCTTTCTAGTTGAGGGAGGAGGCTCAAGAGGGTTTAATTATCAGATCAGGTTCCTTTAGAGGCCCATGTAGTGTTACAGTATACTCCTATGTTCAGAAACAGTTATGGTTAAAGCTGCCCTGATAAAAGGGGAACGTAAACAGACTCTCTATCTATAGTCACGGTAAAACCTCCCACAATGAAACTGTTAGAACATTTCACTTTCTTTGTAGCTTGTAATCACTCATGGCAACACCACAGCAGAAGTTTCATTCTGAAAGAAAAAGAGAAGAAAAAAACATCATGGTCAATAAGAAAGTTGTTGTTTTTAAGTTTTGTGACAGACCTTCTAAACATTTGAAACGATTTAAGAGTCAACTCAAGCCAGACTCAGTGCATTAGAAGCTGAAATATAAAGGATTGGTTTTGGTTTGGGAAATTTAAGGGAATAAAAATGTATTTGACCTAAATTTTGTCTTTGATAGTTAAAGGTGAAAATGATATGGTGGGAATTCACTTTATTGACAGTACACGGCCATCTGGCTATAAATGGGACAAAGATGAGCTGGTTCATTGCAACAGCTGATGTCAGTGCTATTAATCTCTTCAGAGAATTGATGTTTGTTACATGTCCTACATAGCAAAGGTAGAGAGAGAAATCTAACATCTGTCCACGTTTTTTTAGACGATTGAATAATTTCAGACAATTAAAAACAAACTGCAATCTAAATGTACTTCAGTTACTTTGCTAAGAATTTGATAATTAAATCATGAAATAATCCTATTAGGTTTAATCTTTTTTAGCTCAGTAGTGTGTAACTGTATGAAACATGTAGGCTAAAACAAAAATTACCAGATACATATAGTTAAATCCTTGGGAATAGGAACAAGACTTTCTTCTGTGCCATTTTGCAATTATCATTACACCATAGGGGATACATATAGATTATAGATAAAACCAATTATATAGTGTCACATATACATAGTGGTTTCAGGTAATCCTAATATGTTTTTCTGTAGTATCGACATTTTTGTTGTCACTTTTTAACCAACAGACTATAATGGGAACATATAAATGAGTTTAGGTCTTGATCTACACTAGTATGCATAAAGTGGTGGGACTTAGTGAAAGACTGAAAAAAAAGAAAAGACTCCTGTCAAATGCACAGAGCCTACCTAAATGTGGGTTTGTATTTAGAGGTCAGGGACAGAAGGAGACCATAGGCTAAACAACACATCTGTAGCAGCTGTCTGAAGTCCAAAGCTTCAGAATTGACTTGCTCAACTTTTGCAGTGGTCGAAAGTAACCAAGCACATTTACTCAGGTACTGTACTTATAGTGAGGAAAATAAGTATTTGAACACCCTGCTATTTTGCAAGTTCTCCCACTTAGAAATCAAGGAGGGGTCTGAAATTGTCATCGTAGGTGCATGTCATGTGTTTAGACATAATCTAAAAAAAACAAAATCCAGATATCACAATGTATGATTTTTTAACTATTTATTTGTATGATACAGCTGCAAATAAGTATTTGAACACCTGAGAAAATCAATGTTAATATTTGGTACAGTAGCCTTTGTTTGCAATTACAGAGGTCAAACGTTTCCTGTAGTTTTTCACCAGGTTTGCACACACTGCAGGAGGGATTTTGGCCCACTCCTCCACACAGATCTTCTCTAGATCAGTCAGGTTTCTGGGCTGTCGCTGAGAAACACGGAGTTTGAGCTCCCTCCAAAGATTCTCTATTGGGTTTAGGTCTTGAGACTGGCTAGGCCACGCCAGAACCTTGAAATGCCTCTTACAGAGCCACTCCTTGATTATCCTGGCTGTGTGCTTCGGGTCATTGTCATGTTGGAAGACCCAGCCTCGACCCATCTTCAACGCTCTAACTGAGGGAAGGAGGTTGTTCCCCAAAATCTCGCAATACATGGCCCCGGTCATCCTCTCCTTAATACAGTGCAGTCGCCCTGTCCCATGTGCAGAAAAACACCCCCAAAGCATGATGCTACCACCCCAATGCTTCAGTAGGGATGGTGTTCTTGGGATGGTACTCATCATTCTTCCTCCTCCAAACACAGTTAGTGGAATTATGACCAGAAAGTTCTATTTTGGTCTCATCTGACCACATGACTTTCTCCCATGACTCCTCTGGATCATCCAAATGGTCAACTTAAGACGGGCCTTGACATGTGCTGGTTTAAGCAGGGGAACCTTCCGTGCCAATGCGTGATTTCAAACCATGACGTCTTAGTGTATTACCAACAGTAACCTTGGAAACGGTGGTCCCAGCTCTTTTCAGGTCATTGACCAGCTCCTCCCGTGTAGTTCTGGGCTGATTTCTCACCTTTCTTAGGATCATTGAGACCCCACGAGGTGAGATCTTGCATGGAGCCCCAGTCCGAGGGAGATTGACATGTTTAGCTTCTTCCATTTTCTAATGATTGCTCCAACAGTGGACCTTTTTTCACCAAGCTGCTTGGCAATTTCCCCGTAGCCCTTTCCAGCCTTGTGGAGGTGTACAATTTTGTCTCTAGTGTCTTTGGACAGCTCTTTGGTCTTGGCCATGTTAGTAGTTGGATTCTTACTGATTGTATGGGGTGGACAGGTGTCTTTATGCAGCTAACGACCTCAAACAGGTGCATCTAATTCAGGATAATAAATGGAGTGGAGGTGGACATTTTGAAGGCAGACTAACAGGTCTTTGAGAGTCAGAATTCTAGCTGATAGACAGGTGTTCAAATACTTATTTGCAGCTGTATCATACAAATAAATAGTTAAATCATACATTGTGATTTCTGGATTTCCTTTTTTTTAGATTATGTCTCTCACAGTGGACATGCACCTACGATGACAATTTCAGACCCCTCCATGATTTCTAAGTGGGAGAACTTGCAAAATAGCAGGGTGTTCAAATACTTATTTTCCTCACTGTACATACACTTTTGAGGTACTCTATTCTGCTTTATATATCTGCCCCACTACATTTCTGATGCTTTTATCCAAAGCGAGTTACAATTGCTATATTTGTCTGGAGCAACCAGGGGTTAAGTGTCTTGCTCAGGGACACATTGGTGGGTCACAGTGGGGAGTGAACCTGGGTCTCCCACAACAAAGCCATGCATCTTATCCACTGTCCCATTACCACCGCTTGTCACTCCACTACATTTATTTACCAGCTGCAACAAAGTGATGCTTACATATAAACGCATCCAATTATATAAGATTTCTTATTCTGGAATTGTCCCTTTTGCATATAATGGATACTTTTATTTAAGTATAATTTGATGTTAATACTTTTGCACAAGTTTTGAATCTTTAATACACTGTATATGAGAATATAGGAATGTGATTCGTTTGACCATCAGCTTCATAACAAAGCAAAGGGAAGAAAAGCCTCATATGGTTTTATCATTACACCAAAAGCTCAACTAGCAATTTAGGTCAAAGTTTTTGTGAACACTGTTTGCTGGCCACCAAAGCCCAGCTGCTGCTCCATAGATGGCTCTCTACTTCAGCTCCAACAACTGCACAGTTTGTCCAAGCGTCTACTAAATAATTAAACCCACATCAACTTTTTAAAGGCTGAGGAATACAAGAGGCGTCCATTAACTAAACGATGAGCCTCGCGTTCAGGGTGAGTTGGCATCTCAGATGTGCAAACTAACATAGCGTCAACTTTCGAAATTACACCAAGACAAGCCTTCCTCTCCTCACCTGACATTTTAAAAATACTTAATTACAATAGTGATACATTTGGACTTGCAGCTACACGACAAAAGACGCTGACTTTTAAGATACCAACTAACAACACAAATTTGATCACTGCTAGTGTTACATTTCTCCTAACTAACATTTATCATGGCTGCCAGGAGCAGCCGTTTCTCTACAGCAGCCCTGAAGCGTTACACAAAACGTGCAAAACTGTGGCGGACGGTAGCCGGTCTGGACAGGACAGGCCTAATTTAACCGGTAACCGCCGATGCAACTAGTGACGGCTGTCCCACTCACCGAATTGCCGTCTGACTTTTCCTAAAAGGACACTGATCCTAGAACGGTCCGCGTCGAAGCCAGCGACATTTTTCCTCCTTCTCTGCTGTTGCTTCGGCGGGTTGCAAATCAGCTGTACGTGAACTACCGCCCGAGAGCCGTAATCCCACCGCTCATTGGTCGACGGAGATATCAATCACGTGGCCCGCGACTTGTCATTGGATAAGCGTGCTGTCAATAGAACAGAGGAGGCGGTATTTCCGACTCAGACCTATCGAGATACAGTGGAACAAAATCTTGTACTGATTCGTTTGTTTGCTTGTCTTTTGTCTAATTTTCGAAGGTGTTTCAGGCTGAGACATAATTTAAACAAAAAGTCTACAAGGAATAGTCAGTTCTACTGGGTTATCTAGCTGATTGCTAACTAAAACCGCATTATATCTGGAACAAAAATAGATTTGTTGGTTTTAACGTTACTCCTCAAATGTATAGGTGCTTCTGTGATAATTATTTGTTAGTCAGGAGCGAATGCCAAGGCTTCCAAACTCAAGGGACTCTTAACAATCATTCTAAATGTAATATTAGGATGCTCTGAGCAATAATTCACTGACATGTGCCAGTAGTTATTAACATAATGACTAATAATTACTGGAAGCATTGATTAATCATATTGAGTTTCGACATATTAAATATGCTAACTAAATATTGAATTAGAGCTTCAGTGTGTATTACGGAAAGGTTTATGTTCGCAGAACAGTTCTTTGTCATTGAAATAATGGTTCTGCAGCCAAAAATTGTGTAAATCACCTGTCAACCGCTGTATGGACAGGTCAAACACAGACCCAGACAGAATAATACCCCTTTCCCAACTATACATTATCACATTGGTTCTAACAGTAGGGTCTGGGGACCCCCAGGGGTCCTTAAGGAGGTTCAAGGGGTTCCCAACAAAAAGGGGAATCATTTATTTTCACAGTGTCATCCATAAATAACACAATGACAGAATGTGTGACTATTTTAGTTGTGGGTTTCATTTACTTTCTGAAATAAAACATTTAAAAGCAAACATTCTATCAGATGTGGAACCCTGTGACAAAATCAAATGGGGCTCCGTGGTCTACTTTGTGTCAGGGGTCCTTGATGTGAAGTTTGAGAACAACTGCATTATCAGATTGATCCTGATCTGTATTTTCTGAACAGCGCCTACATAATAGTCCTGTGATTATAGCCTAATTATAGGAAATTAGATGTCAAAGATGTGAAAAATAAACTTGCTGGTTATATACAATATGTAAAATAATAAATGTAACAAAACGACTTAAAAAATCAAAACCCCAAACTGAATTTTCTTTTTTAGGAGAAATTTGTGTGTTGTAAGTATTCAGATTGTCCATCAGATGGCATACTGTAGCTTGAATGCTGGATAGTTCATTCATCTTCTGCGGCTACTGCACCATCTAGTGAACATTTTAGAATATTACACATCCAAATCAGTAGAAAGACTCCTACATCTTCATTACCATAACATTAAATCTAAAGTCCCAAAGTGTTCTATAAAACAATTTCAGTGTAAGCACTTGATGTATTTATTAATGCACTGATGTGGACCCTGATCCTGAGTGGCAAACAAATTCTGCAGTGGAAATCTCTTGGTTACGGACTCTTGTCTGTAATTTGCATAGATGCAGCAATGTTGTGAACTAGCATGACACAAAAGTGCCTTATGAACTGAGTCTTTTTATCTCACTCCTGCAAACAATTAATTTTCTACAATAAAAGGTGGTAGCTATTTATTGCAGCCAATGAATTGTATGTTTGCACCAAAAAATAAGGCATCTTTTTACTTATTTCCTTTGAATTTATTTGGGTACAAATAAAAAAAAGTACAAAATAAAGCATAGAAAGTAGTAATTATGAAAACAATGTCAATGACAACAACATACAAGAAAAGGCAACAGTTAAATAACTCCTTAAAAATACAGCCAACTAATCAGGAAAACTCAGCAACCCATGGTACTATACACCTACACAAACAGACATGACATTTAACAGTCAAGTTTGGGTAAGAAAAGGCATAGACCTTGGGTGTGTGAGAATACAACATTGAGTGTCCAGAAGTGCACAACAATCAAGATATTTTAGGCCATTTTTTCATTATACACATCACCGTAAGTGTAATATCCTCTCTGTCTAATAAAGCCAGTCTTTTCCCTCGATTGTCATTTACATCACTACTGTGAGGTTGAGCCCCACAAACATCCCCCATTAAATTGATCTTTCTTTCTTACTGGCCTTAATAACAAGCACTGACAATTACCAAACCATATATACTCATAATGCACAAACATTGGTACAGTGTGTTGCATTCACAGTGAGCTTGACACCATCCTGACTTGACGATCACATAAATGAGCACGACAGGAAGCTAAAGTGGAAACACTTGATAGAACAGAACACGCACCGTATGTCTAGCAATCTTTGGCGTCTGTAGGCTTATAGGTCTCAGAGCCCATTAGCGCCGTCGCTCAGTGTCCACAACAAAGCACAGTGGAGACCTGTTTGGAGGTATCCAGTTACTGTCTGGTTAGTCTCCGTCACACTGCCTCACAATCTTGGCTAATGTCAGTCACTGAGGGGTTAACTGTTCATTTTAATGGGGATGGGGGTGGGTATGGATGCCCTCGGCTCTCCCATTAGGAGACTGTTGCCTTCGGGGCTCAGCGGGTCTTGGTGTTAGTGCTGGTGTTGAAGATAAATGTGAGTAATGGCTCAGTGTTTACGTGTGCGCTGGCCCCCGGTGCCCGTAGTGGTGATGTAGAGGAGGGGCTGGGGCTGCCGCAGCTGGGGCCCTCGCTTCAGGTTATTCATGTAGGCTGCAGAGGACTCTGCATTTGAGCCTGTAGAGAGATGGGGAGATAACAAAAACAAAACTCGATAAAAAGGTTGTTATGGCCGAATGTCACTTAGTCTACATTGGCAGTGACAGCGGTTTACCGGTTTGCTGGCTGCTGTGGGGTGCCCGGACTTTGGCAAGAGGAGGGACCCCTCTGTACTGGGGGCGGAGCATGGGACCCTGGGGCTGACTGTTATTGTGGAGATGGGGGTCTGATGTGCTGTCCAGAGGACGGAACCTCTGAGCTGTGGTTGTCTTAGTTTGAGGCAGCTGCAAGCGAGAGCAGGAAGAAATTATAACACCCAAACTACTTGTTCTATAACCACTGACAATCTAATAAATGCTGTTTAGTCCTATGATAACTATTTTGTGGGTTTATGGCTTACATATGTATTATGTGACACCATAAAAACCAGGCTAAAAAACAAGTAAATGATGCCTGTTTCTGCTAGATGTGTAGGTCAATAATTTGTATACATGTAAGCCTGAAAAACTGGACATCTACAATTTCACTACTGTCACAATTGAGTTCTCAAAGTATGTACAATGTAGTGATGAGTGATTCCCTTGAAGGTTTGATTTAATGACAAACAGGCATTGGGCATGTATTTTTCTGAAAGTTTTTTATGTGTGATATATATGAGTGTGATAATAATGATATTAAGGCTTGTTGCCATTTGCTTTGGAGTCTCATCAGTGTCTCTTAAGGACATGATACAACTCTTCCACTAATGATACTGCACATGCTGAATTTGGAAAATACTCACTGCTTGACCAGTGACCTCGAAAGAGCGTGAGCGCCTCTTCTTGCGGCGAGCTTCAAAGTCCAGTTCACGAGGCATTTGGTTCTTGCTGGCGACCTGGCGGTTACGTGGGCGTGTCCAGGTCACATGCAGGCCAGGCCCCTCACCTGTGCTGCTGGACAAATTATCGTCCGAGGTGGCGTGTCTGAGCTCGGGACTAGGCTGCCTGCCGGGCCGCATTGGCAAACCTCTACTGGGTGCCTCAGTCAAAGACAGACTGCTTTTCTGCTTCTGGGGGTCCAGGGGAGAGGGGGTAGGGGGTAACCGCAAGGCATCAACCTCCAGAGCTTTGGAGCGTCGACGGGCCGCTTTTACTACAATGTTCTGGACGCCCTTCAGGATCTGCTGCCGCTCTGTGGAAACACAGGGATTATTAATACACCGGCGAGTTGATCAGGCAAAACAAACAATTTGAATACTTGACCTTGGGCAAAGGGACATTGCAATGCACAATTATCTAAATTGAGGGTCTAAGAATGGAGTGTGTTGTCTACTGTATAGATTGTAAAGCAGTTTAAGGCAAATTTGTCCAAATAAAATTGACTTATCAGAAGAAGAAAAAAATGAACAGGTTTATCTATTGTGAAAATGTTTAGCTGTAGCTAATGTACAAATGCTAATCAGTGTGAAAAACTTTTCAAAATACCAATTCACAAAACTGGATTAAAAAATGTACTGTTGAATGTTCTTACACCACCACAACAACAACAACAACAATTATTTGACCCCAATTGCCCTTCCACTAACCCACACTGCACATGCACACTCAAACTTCTTACCAGTTTGTAGAAGAGGGATATCAGCCCCGGCCTCGCTGCTCTCAGGTGAGGAGTCCAGGTGGCTGCTGACACTGTGGCTGAGATGGCTGTAGCTCAGAGAGCTCTCAGGAGCCAGCGGCTGCAGCTGCAAACATGAGATGCAGAGTGCGACATTATGATCAGACATTCACTGCAGTTCTTTGCTTTCAGATGGTCACATTGAGTGCTACCGTAGTCATTTCTGTCTCCATAAAATGAAATTTTCATTTTGAATAGGGCATTTGGATTCAAACATTCATAACTCTTATTACGTAATCTTGTCGATGAGTCACACTGGATACATTTACATAAAACCAAAGAAGATTAGATGCAGGTAATATTATTTCAAGCCTGGAACAAAGATGTAATTCTACTGGTTTGCAAATTTCAACATGGAAAGCTGAGCACAAATCCTGGAAGCAAGAGTTGAGAGTGAATTCTTATTATAGCTTATGGTGGAGTTTATTTTATGGAGCTGTGAGGATTGAAAATGAAAATGTTCTACCGGAGTGAAATATCTGGTGGAGTTTTATTAAAACAGGAACCCATATTGCTTTAAGTGAAAAGCAACACCCGACTAGATTGTATTAATCCACACCACGAGGCCCCCCTTAGGGATAGCTACTGAACTGGAAAAAAACAAGGCAAATACTGCCTATTAAAATTGTCCTCACCTCTCTGTTGCCCTTCCCGTTAATGTGGATTGGAGGCGGGGTCATGACAGCCGGGTTTTTGATCTGCCTAGCATGAGGGCTGTTCTTAAAAACTCTGTTATTGTCCCTGACACAGAAAAAAAGATATAACAAGTCATTATTATTACTTATAATGCAGTTGCTGTATAAAATCTAAATGGGAAACATATGAACAAGATGTCCTCTTACAGCTCAGGCTCAGGTAGAATGGGGGGCAAAGTGTGTCTACGGATTTTAACTTGGCCACGTCTGTTATCAGAGCACATGTTGCGCACACTCTCCTGGTCAGAGTCCATGTCCTGCATGTTGTCGCGACCCTGACCGGGCAGGGTGATCTTGGGTAGAGAGCCCTCCTGGAAGTGAGAGCAGAGCATTTATTAGGAATTATGTGTATGAGCATTCATCTAGAACACCTTATACATGATTATGTTTAATTTAGTTTCTAAATTTGATTTGTCATGCGGGGGCTACCTTGATGGTGTGTCTGATGGTCACCTTATCCAGGGCCATGGCTCTGTCCAGTTTCCTCTCATCCAGCTCCCTCATGTACATATCATACAGCTCCTGGAGGTGTGGAGGTACTAGCAGACTGTGGTCTGGAACACACAGAGATTATTTTCGCAATTAATTGTTTGGTCTATACATCATCACATAAACAAATGTCAGAAATATTCAATTTACCATAATGTAAGACCAACAAGAGCAGAAAACTCTTAGATTTTAGAAACTGAAACCATCAAATGTTTGGCATTTATGCTTGAGAAATGACTAACAAGATTAGCAAACTAGCTGCTGATTAATTATTTCGATTGAACAATTGTTGCAGCTCTAAACCAGACTTGTGGACTTGCACAGCAATTAACTAAACAACAGATATTTAATAGAGATAGGCTCACCATCAATGAACTGTTTCTGCTGTTGAATGATCTCGTCACACAGGTGTCGGTGCTGCTCGAAGCGCTGCACCACATAGTTTTTCTGCCGGATGACATTGTCCTTGAGCAGCGCGTGGGACTGCATCTCTGCGTTCTCGATCTCCAGCTCGTGGACCTTGCAGAGCAGGCCCAGGACCTCGCGTTGCTCCTCTGAGCTCACCCGCCGAGGCAGCAGCTCCTCCAAGCGCCGAGCCCGATCCCGAAGCTCCAGAAATCTGCGCTCAAGCAACGCCTTGAGGACCAGCGGGGAAAAGAATGGTACAAGATGTGTGCACTTTTCTTTTTCTATTCATAAAAAAATGTCATGTAAAGAAATGTAAAATCACAGCAAAGCCTCAAATGATTTATAAGGCATTTGAAGCAAGTGCTTTGTTTTTATATTCTAAGGAAACTTACAAGTATATGAACCAATTTCCCACAGTTTTAAAAAGTAGATCAAGAATCCTACCTTCTGTTTGTGAATCCTTTTCTGTTCAGCCATGAGTGTAACCAGGTTTTCTCGGGCCATCGCCACCTGCTGGGTCTCTGTGCTGTCCGGAGGAGACTCCGGGCAGTCAGAGTCCTTCTCACTTTCATCCTTATTGACACTTTCCTTCCTCCTTTCAGCCCGCCACTTCCTCCTGCGCCTACTCCGCTCCTGCTCCCAGCTAGGAGAATAAGAATACACACCAGCATGTCATCTGGTTTGTAATTTACAGCTATTGATCACATTGATCGCTTTTCTGCAGCTTCATTTGAATGTGCACTGTCCTGAAAAATTATCAACCCATATAACCCATGGTTAGATCAGTTGTAACCAGTGAAAATTAAATGAATGTAGCAAAGTGGTTGCTATGGTTACCTGCTCTTCAATACACCTTGCTCACAGCTGGTATAATTAATACTCAATACTAATTTTGATTATATGGTACACATACTCATAGTCATATAAGTCAATTTGCCACATTGTCAGTTCCTGAATGTCACACAGGGGGTTACAGATCACTGTATTACGCTATCAGACAGGGTAGGAAAGACAGATATATATATCCTAAACACTGACTCTGCAATGGTTAGCAGGTGTTTGGAGGTGTCGATCTGGTTCTCCATGTTGCTGTTTTCCAGCTCCATCAGGCTCCTCCTGATTTCCATTTGTTGTCGGAAGGCATCCAGGAGATGCTCCCTCAACTGGTCCATCTCGGCCCGACTCTGATGACTGGAGTGGGCCTGGACCTCCGCTACGAGTGGGGAGAGATGACAAGAAGAGAGAAGAGAGGAATAATGAATATTAGGAATAAGGATATTATTCAGGTACTGGAGGAGGCAGTGTGGAGAAGACTTTACCCTGGACATGGCGGATGTCAGCCCGGTCTGAGTTGAGCTGGCGACTCGCCTGATCTGCAATCTTCTTCTTGAGCCGCTGGATCTCACAGCGCAGGTCTGAGATGATGTTGGTGTACTGAGCAATGTGGTATGACACATTTATAAGGTTCTTCTTTACCTGTAGCACAAAACGATGATGAGAAATATAAAGAAAAGAATACTTAGATATTTGAGACTGAAAGTTGCATTTTCTAATTGCAAGTAGCTTAATTAGATTCAACAACATAATAAAATGCCATAAAATTGCAAAGCACTTTACAATTTGCTTATAATTCAACCATAAATCACCAATAAACTGTAATAAACTAGTCTTCTAAAGTGAAGTATCATTTCAATGAATTTTTAATTGTATCTTGAAATTCTCTCACACTCATCTCTATTTCAACTGTAGTAAAGACAAATAAGAGACTAACAGCTATGTGTTCTGAGCTCACCCGTGTTCGAATGCTTTTGGCACGGTCAGCGTAAGCCAGCGTGTTACGAGACTCCTCAAACGCCATAGAGGCGGGGCTAATGTGGGCTATCATGACCGTTCGGCTGTTCCCGCCCAACGAGTCCTGTCATTCAAAGACATCAGAAGAGAAACAATACATGAATAATATCTGAATCACAAAATATAGTTCTATCCTGGAGTTGGTCTCCTATAAATTCTGAAATTGCTGTACCTTTAGTAGTCGAGTCAACTTGCTGTCTCGATAGTTGACATACTTGGTGCCATTTCTGTCACTCAGGGCGTTGATGCAGTTGCCCAAAGCCAGGAGGGATCGGTTGATGTGGGCCCCCTCTTTCAACCGCTGACCCCTATTCTGAGTCTAACAGATAGACAGATAGATGCGATTAAGAGATTTTAACACCTTTTAGACTCAAACCGGGGACTTTGTAATTACATGGTCAGCACCTTAAAGGCCCTGAAGACTAATTTTCTTCACCTTACTTATGATGAGCAAAGTGATCCCACAGTCCCCCAGTATTTTCTTTCATTATAACGATTTTAGTTATTTCACCTGAGAGACCACCTTCTTTTTCCCTCTGTCCTCTTCTAATTGGCTTCAAGTTGGCCGGGCTCAGATAGGAAAAAGTGATGTCACATTCTTACGTGAACCAATCAGGATTTAGCAACATTTGAATGGATAAATGGGTTGTTGGTCACTGTCAATAAATTCTGATCAAATCACACAAGCACAGTCCTGATGGAGGAGATTAGCTAAGTTTTTGAGTTTTAACCTCTTGATAAACAATACCTTTTTTACTTTCATTGTTACATATTGAATATTTAATTTAGTTACAGAGCAATGCTTAAGAATATAATACTTGACCACCTGGGCACCCCACCCTAACACGTTTCCTCTCTTGCCCAGGAGATGGCATTACCTCCTACCGTTGGTCTATCAATACTTTGCTCAACTAAATCAACTTACTAACTGCATGCACACTCAGATACAGAGAAAATGTTCCTTGTGGCCCCAAGTGCCAAACAACTCTGTTCTGCTCAATTACTAATGGAGGACATATGTGCTATTCAGAAATAGTGTGGCTGTGAACCATTCACACTGTCTCCATGGTAAAGAAGTGCTCTCACTCACTGACTGTTTGCATGTTGCTGTCATGGCGTACAAGGACGTGGCAGTGTTAACATGGGCGACAATGACAACGCATTCATCTGACTGAAAGAAGCAGACTCAACTTGAAAAACTTCTAAAAACTGAAAAAATACTCAACATTCGCAACATTCTCACTATACTGCTTAAAAAGAGGTCAAAGCAACAAGTGACAATAAACGGAAATAACTCGGGTACTTTCCACCAGTGTCAATCACAGTTTTACACCACAACATGATCCCATTTGCCAAAAGGTTGGTGTATTTAATAAACTGCACAGTGAGCTATAATGGCAGATATAAAGAGGCTTTTATTAAGGTCTCCTGAGGTTTATGGGAACCTCAATCCTCTGGACTGTTGTAAAGATACGCTGCCAAGCATCCCCAGTGAGCAGACTACATTTGGGTCCAGACACTCACAAAGCAGACTCTTGTTGTTTTGAGGATATACACATGTAATGTCCATAAAAGCTTAAAAGAAGTTGTATGTATGTAACATGTACATTAGCCAGTCTTTGAACTTGAATTTGAGTTTGGCAGAAAAGTATGTGACACATTGTCTAGCTGTACAACTACCATTGAACATAATTTCAGTTATTTAAAAACCTAATGACTAAGTATATATACACACACCTGGGCTGCTCGTTCTGAGCCGGCGAGGTCAATCATGAAGAGGCGTGCAAAGCGGACCTCCTGCAGGACGTCTCGACACCGGCTCTGCTGTTTGACGGCCACCTGCAGCACAGCGTGGGAGCGAGATGATGTCTGATTGGCGGCTGTTGGCTCCTGGGTGCGCTGTTTGTTGCCCCTCATCAGCAATTCCATGATCTGTAAACACAGATAGAGTTATTTGTCATGTGTGCAGTGTGTAGTCATGTTATGCACAGTCAGGTAGCTCCTCTAACCTCTTGTGCATTGATGGTAGAGACCTCTGTGATGCCAGCAACCTGAATCTCTCCTTTAGAATCTTCTCTCAGGTCCAAGAAGCCCGAGGATGGGTTCAGCAGGTCACGGATCATCTCATTATAGATCTATAAAGACAGATAGAAATATAAAACCGTCAGCTGAATGCACCTGCAACATACATAGTTGAATTGAGCACAAGTCAGGTAAATGCAACACTTCATGTATATGCTCGACATGCTTATGTTATGTTCCTCTGAATAACAGACATGAATTAACTGGGAGGATGTTTATGTCCATTGAAAAAGGTTCCATTCAGGCTCTCAGACCTCCTACACAGACCCAAACCTGGTACATAAACATCAAGTGCTATATTTTCAGCAACTTGTCATTTAGAAACCACAGCTTGTTGGGTGGCAGGCTGTCATTAGCCGGAGTCAGTGCTCTTCATTCACTAAAAGAAAATTCATGTGACTTCTCTGTACTGACATTGATGGTGCAGCGAAAGCCCCCAAACCCACATAAAAGCTCAGTGCAGGAAGTGACATCCTGGAAAGTGATGACTGGGTGACAAACCACTGGGTTGATGCTGTACAGGTAGTTTTTATTTGTCAAGCAGACCTCAGCCTCAGACTCTGAAAGGCTGACACTTTTACTGACACTGACAGTAGGATATGTGTTATATTATTTTTTTCCATCTGTGCTCTTTCATAACTAGTGAACTTAGAACAAGAGTCCACAGCCATGCTAGCAGCTCTGTGACGCTGTACACAGAGTGGTGCTTTGATCAAAATGCTAATGTAAGTGTGCTAACATGCTCAAAAAGTACTAACGTGCTGATGTTTATCAGGTATTATGTTTACCATGTTCCCCATCTTAGTTCAGAGTGTTAGCATGCTAACATTTTTAATTAGCACCAAACACAAAGTACAGCTGAGCCTGTTGGGAATGGCATTTATTTTTCAGGTATTCGGTTATAAATCAAAATATTCAACAAATGAATATGTTGACCTGATGGTGGCACTAGATGAAAAGTCGGGATCACCAAAGTTATTACAATTCATCTTCTGGTCATCATGGATATTTGTATACATTTTCATGGCAATCCATTGGATACTTTTTGAGATATTTCACTCTAGATAAGAGTGGTGGGCTGACCAACAGACTTACAATGTGTAGAAGTGTACAGTAGCAAAAAAAGAGTTGGGAAACTAAATCAGAATAAACACAAAAGAAAAGGGGGAGGGGAGTACTGTGTGCATGTGAGTAGTGAAGAATAACTGTGCCTTTTTTTAAAACTCGTACAGCGTACATTTATTTGTATTCGCTGCATGTATGCTTCTGTGCATGTGTTTTAGAGATTGCATGTGTGAAAGCGAGTGTGATTTGAACAAGAAAAGTAGCGGATGTGTGCACATCGCTCAGTCAGGTTGTAAAACAGCGTTTAACCTCTTTGCGGTGAGGCAGCAGTAGCAACAGATTGCTCCCTGGAAACAGCAAACACACATGTCACTCACAGCCTTGTGTCAGGATTCATCATCAAGACTTGTGCAATACAGGTCAGAGAACATCTAGACCAAGATTGCCGTTTTCATATGAACATTTTCACTTCCACCTACCCCCAGTGCTACTAAAGAGATTGTCAATCATTGAACATAATAACAAACACAAAATTTAATTTCAATTTCTGTTCCATTTTCATTTTCAGTTTAAGGTTTAATGCTTTTTTCATATTTGCTCTTTTTATACAAGGTTATATTCATCATCTGCCCCTTCCTTTCTGTCTGTATCCCTTTCTTTTCTATCTCTCTGAACACTTTGCTCGTCCTTTGTCTCTTTTTCTCTCACTTTAATTTCATTTCCTGCCAACCTAATATTTGGGGGAAAAAAAGTCAATTTCTAATTTTTCCTTTATATTAATGCTGCCATATTTTCCAGAACGACTTTTGGGAGCAAATTATACAACAACTTGTTCACTTAAAATCACTAAAAGGTTCACAGTCATTATGGAGATAATTTACGTGGTTATTTTATGGACTGTTTTATGGATCTGTGGCGTTCAACCTCAGTTACAACGCACAGTAAGACAATACTCTTGGGAGTTCCTAATGCAATGGGACGCACAGAACCGTGTGGACATGCAGATGGATGATCACAGGGAAAAGAGGTGTTCGACAAAGATTAAAATGTTACAAACTGCGGCGCAATAAATAAGACAGACGAGCTGCAGGCTAACACAAACTATCTACATGAATATAGAGATGCCTGCATTATGGCCTTCAGCGAGACATGGCTTACCTCAAAAGATACCGACTCTGATCTGACAATCAGCGGCTTTGGTGCATACAAATACTATGGGGAAATCCCAAGGAGGGGGAGTATGTGTACACATAAATCAGCGGTGCTGCAATAATGTCTCCATCAGGGCATCCATATGCTCAGCTGACATATAA